CAACTTTAAGACTTGTGGACTTCAACTCCCAGAATTCCTCAGCCAGCAAAGCTGGCTGAGGAATTCTAGGAGTTGAAGTCCAACAAGTCTTCGAGTGGCCAAGGTTGGAGACCCCTGACCTGGGGGGCTTCAGACAAGCAGATTTCCCCAGTGAAGACTGCCAAAGAGCAAAGCCAGGAAGGTGTTGTGTGTCTCAGCCGCGGTGTCTTGATGAGCCCCAAGATTTTTAGGCACTACACGGGCTGAGACGGGGCAGAGGGCAAGGCCGAGCTAAGCCCCCCTCCGGGGTCACACTGCGAGCGTTAAGGCACCCCAAAGAGGAGCAGCAGTGGTGGCATCCTCAGCTTCAGGCCCCGTGGGAGTCGCTGCCCAGGGAAGCGTTTCGGTTTTCGCAAGTGATCGCGACGGATTAAACAACAATGATCTTTCCCCTCCCGTCGATTTGGGAGGTGAATTCTAGAAAGAAACCAACGATCCAGAGCGGAAGGGCATTCGTAAAGTGCATCGGAGACCGGCCAAGAGGCTGCAAGGGAAGGAGGGCAGCAGAGGACTTGGGCTTCCTGTGGGCAGGAGCCCCCCTCAAGCTTTTCTCCCAAAGGCAGGGGCAGATTGGCCAGAAGGCAAAGAAACTCCAGAATCGCACGGAAGAGGTTCTGGAAAGAGAACCTGAACCCGGACAAACACACCTGGAGAAGCAGCTTGGAAGGTCCTCACTCAAAACTTTTGCAGGAAGGCAGGGAAGGAGCAGATCTCCTTGGCACAAGGACAAGGGGGGAAGAGCTTCGAGAGGCAAAAAACAGGGATAGGTGATGGGAACTATAGCGCAAACCAACCCGAGCGGCACCAACTAGGGGAGGCTGGCTGTCCCCAGAGGCTTCTTTTACCCTTCTGCCTCGTCTTCTCCCAGGTTTTCAACCAGCAGGGGACTGTCCGGCTGTTCGGCCCCCTCTTCCCAAGCAGACCAGGCCACCCTTCAGGGCACTTGCAGCCTAACCAGCCTGAGAGGACGGGGGTCTCGGAGGCAGCCCCTGAGCTATTCCCAGCAGCCCCTGCTGGGCTTCGGTCAGTGCCGCTTCCAAAACGCCCTTGTCTGTGGGAGCCTGAAAAAGCCACCCTGGAGTCTGCAGCCTGAGCAGACTCTCGCGATGAGACAAAGTCGCTGCTCCTCTAAAGGGAATTTTTTTTGTTGCAAACAGATCTGTTTGGGAAACACTCTTCCCTACTGCTCATCCCAGGTTGGGGAAACGGGCAAGTTAGGAGGTGCAGCTGCTACACACACCTTGGCTGGCAGAGGAGAGAGGCCCCAGGTAGACCAAAGGAAGGGCAAGAAGAAGAAGAGCCCATCAAAACGTCTCCGGCAGCCAATCCAGAGGCCTTTGGAACAGAACCGCGGTCTCCTTCCCAGCCTTCATCCAGAGGGAGGCTAAAAGAGGCAGTGTAGAGCGAGCGAGCTGGATGGGAGGGAAGACGACCTACCAAGGGAAGCACGGCGTTAAATTCTCTTGGGGAGGGAAGAGGCAAGGCTAGGGGTCCAAAAGAGCCAGTCTTCTTGGCCAAGAATTCCCTGCCCGAGGGTGGCCAGGATGGGAGAAGAAGAGGCGAAGTGTTAAAACCTGCCAGCAGCAGCACCACAAAAGAGGACTTCGACGCTGCTTATCTTCACTTCCTGCCAAGCAAAATGTAGAACTGCTGTGGCCTTTTTTTGGTTTGTGGCAGAATCTTGCAGCTCTCATCCCTTTGGAGCTCCAAAAAAACGGACAGGGAAGGGAGTCTCCAGGTTGAGGGGGGGGGTTGATTGCCCCACCTCAGGCTGATGAGAGGATCACTATGGTTGGGGCTGCCGTGCTGGGGTCACTGTTGGCCAAATACAGAGTTTAGATGGGGGGGACGAGGGGCACAATGGTTAGATTCCCAAGGCAAGCGGCACGTCGGATCGGCCTTAACAATTACAGAGCGAGCAGCTTACCCCAAAGTCTCGACCCCCTCTGCCACCAATGGCTTCCCCACTCCCACCCCTGTCTATTCCACGAGCCGCAGATAATGCGAGGAAATGGCCTCCTTCAGCCCGGCGGCCTTGCAGGGGCTCATTATCTCCCAGGCCTGTGCCTGAGAATCCTGGGAGCCGAAATCCTGAAGGGCTCCCAAGATGGAGATGACCAAGACAGGACAACGACGTGAGAGGCAGAAGAACCCAAAGCAGCTCCCATGAAATAAGATCCCGAAGAGGGATCTGCTGGGAGGAGATGAGTAACATCGGGCAGCTGCTCTCCGAGGGACTTCCGTGGTCCCACAGATCGATGCAGACGCACGCCAAGAACTACTAAGATCCTCCTGCTAGCAGGACGCACCGTCTCCTACAGTGGCGGTAAGGATGGGATAATCCTCTTGTCGTTTCTATCGACCCCTTGGAAGGTTGGCTGGAAGGGACAGGACCAGGATGTTTCCATGTGAGCAAACCTCACTGTGAGCAGGTGCCCTAAAGCGAGCAGCGGGTCTCAAAATGCAGGCCTCTCCAGATCCCAAGAGGTCCCACCAAGTTCCCAAGACCTTGAACTCTCCATGCGGGCTGAGGGACCAGGGAAGCCTCCTCTGCTTGCTCTGGAGACAGAGGGTCGCACCTCCCCGTCATAAATACCCCTTCAGATTGGGGGCAGCTGCAGGATCATTTTGGGGAAAGGAGGAGGGAAAAGGGTTCAAAATATACAAAATGTAACAGACCAGGAAGTCTTAAGAAGTCCAAAGGGCAACGTGGGAAAAGTCTGGCGCTTTCTGGAGTTATTTGCCCTGGAAGCCGCTGAACTCCATCTCGTCTTTGCGCCGGCGGGAGGTGAAGAGGGAGCTGAAGGGGTACAGCTTGGCCTTGGCTTGGAAGCGCTGCCCGGCAATGTCGATCTCATATTCTCCCCGGTTGACAAAGTCTGGGGTGACCAGCTGCTCCTCGCCGGTCTCGGGATCCAGGTTCTGGACAAAGCCCAGGCAGACGTGACGCTCCAGTGTGTAACTGTAAGCGCTGCTGGTGGTCTTGCCCACGTAGCAGCCATTGCGATAGATGGGCTCCCCCCACCAGGGCCACAAATCCAGGTCGGTGTTATGGTCTTCCAGGATGAACATGGTGAAGCGCTTGTAGACCCCTTCCTGCTTCTGAGCCATCAGCGCGTCCCTCCCGATGAAATCCATGCCCTGCAGAGAGAGAGAGACACACACACACAGTCAGGAGACGGGATTTGACCCCCTTCAGCTCTTCTACTTACTGCCGGGAAAGAGCCAATGGCAAGCAACCCACTGGCAAGCGTTCTATCAAACTGCATCCCTGCTTGGTTTGGTGACTGCAGTGCCTCAGATAGAAAGTCCCAACAGAGAGTGGTGAGGACAGCGGAGAAGATTATAGGACACTCGCTTCCCATTATTCAGGATACTGCTTGTAAGCTCTAGGTGCTTAGAGCTCAAAACATTGTTAGAGACCCCACATACCCACTTCACAGTCTATTTTTGTTGCTCCCCTCCGGGAGAAGGTTTTCTGGGGAATTCTGGGAGTTAAAAGTCCACAAGTCTTAAAGTTGCCATGTTTGGAGACCCCTGGCTGAAAGGAATAAACGTCCTTAAAGTTTCTTCCAATTTTGGGGGACATAAATGGTATGTTGAGGACTTCCTTGTGCGTGGCCCACTCCCAACCCACAAGTCTAACTTGGAACCTTCTGCGTTGTCCCCTTGTTGCAATCTCCAAAGGAGGCAGCAACTGGAGGCAGCGGAAAGCAGGCAGCCCCCGTGCTAGAAACTGGCACCCTGTTTCTCGAGGTTACTCGCTCCCACCAAGCCTGCCATTCAGAAACCACCCCTCCTCCTCACCTTCTCCAGCTTCACCCGGAATTCTCGCCCGCATTCCATCGGGGTGGTGAAAGCATCCAGGTCTTGTCCCCAGAAGGCAAAAAACTTCTCAATGCGCAAGCTGCGGAGGGCGTAATAGCCAGAGTTCCGGATCCCATACTTCTGCCCCACGTTCATCACCTCGTTGTACACGTGGAGGGCATACTGCGGGGGGGAGGGGGGGGAGAGGAGAGGCGCATTTAAATAACCAGCCTGGAAACTGAAGGCTGATAGCATTCCTCGGTCACTTATCTCTTCAAGGCTCAAGTCTTTTCCCTTTCAAGCCCCACACTTCTGAGATAGCATGAGATAAGCAGTCCAACACCACCAAGGCTTCCATGCAACGTTTCTTTTATTGGATTATATTAGGCATCCTCATCAACGTAACTCAAGAGTTATGTTGAGATCCATCTAATGTCCAATCTTTGCCTCAGTAGTTGCCTCCATAGTGTGTAAAGATGGTTATCTTCATCCCGTAGAGTTATAGCAAAGGAAGACTCCGGCACGATGCTGGGGTCCAGGTACAAATGCCCAAAAACTCCCTCAGCCCAACCAGAGATCCATTCAGTGGCCAATCAGGATTACAGATGTGACCACGTGACATGAACTACATCTCCCAAGAGGCATTAACTACATTTCCCACGAAGCATTCCCTTAAGGGGGCAGCTCTCATTCCTAAACTAACTATATACTGTCTAACCAGCACAATGACCCTTCGATGACATGGCAAGCGAGCTGGGCATAGACCAGCCTTGCCCAACGTGGCCTCCAAGTGCCACTTCCCTAAACAGACTTCACTTAGGAACCTGAAAAGATGATACAGGCGCTGTCTAGCTAAAGGCAGTCCTCAACTTGCAGCAGAGTTCCATTCGGTGATCAAAGTTATGACGGCACTGACCATTTTTCACGTTTATGATTGGGGCAGCATCCCCATGGTCACCTGATTTACATTTGCATGTTTGGCCACTGGCTCATATTTATGACGGTTGCAGAGTCCTGGGCTCACGTGATCCCCTTTTGTGACCTTCCGACAAGCAAAGTCAATGGGGAAGCCGGATTCATTTAACAGCCGGGTTGCTAACTTATCAACTGCAGTGATTCACTTAACAAGGGTGGCAAGAAAGGTCAAAAAATGGGGCAAACTCACTTAATCAATTTTTACGCTTAGCAACATAACCTTCACTGTGGTTGTAACTCCAGGACTAGCTGTACTTTTTAGCAAAAGTCCTTAAACAGAAATTGTGGATGACGTCATGCCATTTGGGGATTAGTCCCTCCCCCCGTAGGTACAAGCCCCCCCCCCCACCCAGTGAAGATGGACCTTCCAACCACAAGCCCCACTCACCTCAATGGGGATGTAAAGCATGAAGCCAGGCTCTCCCGTGTGTGTCATACTCATGACCCGGATGCCATTGGCATAGCCAACACTCATTTCCTGCAGAAAGAGGGACCACACCGTTTATACATCCAGAACAAAAACCCAAAGACAAAGGAATATTGTCGCTCACCTGACCATAGGTAAGACGGAAGTTTCTGCCTTGCAAACATCTAACTGGAGAGCCTGATTGATGACTCTGGGCTATGGAAGTGTCCCATTGGAGAATATGAATTACGATACACCCAGGGGGTGGGGGGAAACCAGGCTCAAGGGTGACAGTCAATGATGTGCCTCAGAGTTGGCTACACCCAGGCAATGCCGGACAGTTTAACTCCCAATAAATCCTTTTGAAGTTTTGGAAGTTTGGCTCGAGACTCATGATTTAATTGGGGGGAACTGCCGGAATCCTGACACTGACATTCTCCACCAGAAGAAACTTGGCCCAGTGCTTAAGATCAAACAGTGGGTGACATGCGGGATGGGGGAGGGGCACGCCAGCTCTCTGGTCTGAGAACATAGACCATATTCCAGGCCAGCATTTCTCATCTCTGGCAACTAAGACAAGTGGACCAACTCCCAGAATCCCCCAGCCAGCTGTGCTATCACCCTCCTCCACATCCCCTGCACTCCTTACCTAAGCCTCCCGCCCCTTCCCACTTAACCTACATGGTCCCGGGGTTACAGCCGCAACAGGGACTGCCAGGATTGCTGCCGCTAAGTGATACAATCATGCGGTGTCACATTTTGCGACCACATCATTTAGCAAGGGTAATCCCAATCTGAACTGCCATCGTACTCAAGGATCATCCCTGTTGAGGTGACCCGTGATGGCGCAGTGGTTAGAATGCAGTACTGCAGGCTGAGTCTGCCCATTGCCAGCAGTTCAATCCTGACCGGCTGAAGGATGACTCAGCCTTCCGTCCTCCCAAGGTGGGTAAAATGAGGAGCCAGATTGTTGGGGACAATAGGCTGGCTCTGTAAACCGCTTAGAGAGGACTGTAAAGCACTAGGAAGCAGTATATAAGTCTAAGTACTATTGCTATTGATCGCCTGCCTGCCTGCCTGCCTTCCTTCCATCCACTCACCCACCCACCCAACCATCCACCCATCCATTGATCCATCCATCCATGAGGCACAATGGTTAGAATGCAGCATTGCAGGCTAACTCTGCCCACTGCCATGAGTTCAGTCCTGGCTGGCTCAAGGTTGGTTCAGCCTTCCGTCCTTCCAAGATGGATAAAATGAGGAGCAAGATTGTTGGGGGCAAGAGGCTGACTCTGTCAACTGCATAGAGGGCTGTAAAGCACTGTGAAGCAGTATATAAGTCGAAGTGCTGTTGCCATGGCTACTGATTCCTTTGCACAAAGGAAAAGATGGAAGAGCAGATACAAAAAGCCCATTTGTTCAATGAAGCATCCCATAATTGACACGAGCTGGCCTCCGACAAGCAAAGCCAACGGAGAAGCCTGCAAGCAAAGTTGCAAATAGCAACCATGTGATTCCTCACTTAAGGACTGCACTGCTTCATGATGAATTTTCTGAGCCCAGCTGAAGTCCTAAACGGAGGACTCCCTGTAAGCATCCACGCAAGAAGGAAGAAGGTTGCTAAATGAAATGGAAAAGCCCCCTACCTTACAAAAGAGGGAAGGGAAGTGTTCCGGGGTCATTGGCGCATATGAGAGCTCTGACAGGACATCCATGGCACGTGGGCCAATCAGATTCAAGGCTGAAGGAAATAAAAGGAAAAGAGTTCAAGCATCAGAAGCAAGGGAGGGATTTCTACCGGTTTGGACCGGTTTGGGCGAACCGGTTGTTAAATTTGCATCTGGTTCGCTGAACCGGTAGTTGAACCAACCAACTGGCCCCACCCTCCCCTCCCCTCCCCAGAGTCTCCACATGGCTCATGTTTGATGGAGGTAAATGCAGGGTCCGTGCAGAGGTTTTAAGGGGGGGGGGGAAACGGGCCTTCTGGAAGTACCAGAAGTCCAGAAACGGACCTGTTTCTGGCTTCCGGAGGGTCTCCAGAGCCCGAGGGAAGCCTCCAAACCCTTGGGAAGGGGAAAAGCGGCCCCCCCCGGAAGTTCCGGTAAGCCAGGCCCACCCAGCAACTGGGCAGCAAGCCGACTGTTGGGACTTTTGAATCCCGCCCCTCACCAGAGGCAACTGCAGAATCGGCAGCCTTGCCCCCATTACTTCCCTCACTCTTCTCTTTGCAGCTTGTCCGCTCGACACAAATCAACAAAGGCTCGGAATCTTAAATCGGATTTCATCTGGGGGAGAGGAGACCCTTTACTTGGGACAAGATACCTGGAGATCCTAAGGCAAGTTCTTGGAATTTTTCCAGTTGAAGGCTTTCTCGTATCAGCCTTCCAAAGCAAGCACCCAGCTCTGCCAAACTCCGAAGCCCACCTTGAGCCACCGTTCTCAGCCAACTTTTGGGTTGGGCCTCCGGGATACGAGAACATCAACTGTCCACCCCATATCATGGCTGCCACGGATGGGAGAGCCAGTTTGGTCTAGTGGTTAAGGCACCACCATATCATGGGAGAGCCAGTTTGGTCTAGTGGTTAAGTGGTTAAGGCACCAGACTAAAAACTAGGAGATTGTGAATTATAGAGCTGCGATGGCACAGAGGTTAGAGTGCAGTACTGTGGGCTACTTCTGCTGACTGCCGTCTGCCTGCAATTTGGCAGTTCAAATCTCACCAGGCTCAAGGTGGACTCGTCCTTCCGATGTCGGTAATATGAGGACTCAGATTGTTGAGGTCAATAGGCAGACTCTGTGTACCGAGTGCTATTACTAAGGGCTCTAGTCCTGTCTGAGGCATAAAAGCCAGCAGGTGACTTTGGACCAGTCACTCTCTCTCAGCCCAACTCATGACATGGGGCTGTTGTGGAGCAAATAGGAGGAGGGTGGCGTGTTGGATATGTTCGCTACCCTGAGTGATTTGTAAAAATAACCAAGGAAAGAGACAAATAAATAAAGGCACCAACTTGGATCTACCACTGACACACTAACCAAGAGACACAACAAGCCTTGTGTATCTGGCACAGATTAAAACCAATTTGCTATATTTATGGTTTTTGCTCTGAATAATGTTAAATGTGAAAAGTCCCAGGGGGAAGCAAGTCATTCCTGCATCCCTGACTTGCTCAGTTTCAGGAACCCAGAGAGCTGAGGCTCCTCTGGGTGGATGGTCAATAGCTCTGAGATTCCAAACAGGTGGGCAGCTAGATTGATTCACCTGAACGGAGGGAGACCTGTTAACCCCGAACAAGGTTAACTAGGAGTGAGGTGTCTGAACCCTGCAAACAAAACCGCAGGCCAGCCTGCAGAATCTGGGGTTCCCTTGGAGAAGGACCCTGCCCTGGTCCAGAGGAGTTCCAGACCAGTCCAGCAGCTGGCAGCTCCCCTCACCTGTGTATTTCCAGGTAACATCTTCCAAGAAGAGGTTGCTGTCTTCAGGCATGTGCTTCTTCAACCAGGCCCAGCAGTGAACCTGCTGGTCTGTGGGGGAAATCATGAAGAAGCTGCAGTATGGAACACAGAAAGTGCATTTAAGCCCAGAGGGGACAATTTTTATACAAAGCTTTCGAAAATATGCCGTCAGATAACACTTCATTACTTATTCCACCAGGCAGCGCGTCATGCTCAGGACTTTGAATCTGATGCTGAAGATGCTGCTCCCGCAGAAATCTCTGGAATGTCAGCCTCAGGGGAGAGAAAGACAGGAAGCACCTGTAGCTGGTCAAACACACCTGAGCACCTGCAATCGCCGGATGATGTAAGGCTTCCCAGTCTCCACCCCCAGAGAGTAGAGCAGAGGTGTTCAATGAGGCTTCTTATTTATTTATATTTTCTATTTCTTAACTCTTGCCAAGCAAGGAAGTAAATAGCACTTAGACTTATATACCGCTTCACAGTGCTTTACATCCCTCTCCAAGCGGTTTACATAGTCAGCACCTTGCCCCCAGCAATCTGGGTCCTCATTTTACCCACCTCAGAAGGATGGAAGGCTGAGTCAACCTTGAGCCTGCTGAGATCTGAACTGCCAAATTGCAGGCAGCAGAATTAGCCTGCAGTACTGCATTCTAACCACTGTGCCACCACGGCTTAATCTCTTGCTTAATAACAGCTCACTACAGCCCGATTTAAGAGGCAATTCTGACCCATGTTTCCTTTGCCGGAATCAACCATCTGACCTCTGGCTCTTGTGTGGCATTTGTGCGGCTTCTGGCTTGTGAAATTCTGGACTGGCTGACAACGCTGATCTAACTCTTGGATCCTTGGACTGATTTGGGACTATTCCTCTGCACTCTCCTTTTAAAAAGCTAACCATTCAGGCAAGCATTCGTTAGAGACTCTGTTTAGATTTGCAGGCTTTGGCTGTTGTTATCTCTTTGACCTTGAATAAAGTATGAATTACCATAGCAACAGTATGGGACTATTTGAAACCAGGAGTAGGACACAAAGTGTGGCAGCATCTTTTCCAAATAACTCCATTTTATTCAAAGCATAACTGTCTTAACAGCCAGCCAACAAAAATGGCCACTCAGGTGTTCATTATCCAATTTTGATCACAACAAGAGTTCTGTTTCATTTAGCAACTTTCTTGCTTGTCTCGTTTCTCAATACAATGAGCACCTTATATATACTACAACATTTCGTTCTCTAGGCTTGCACAAGGCCCCAGTTGTTTATATCACACCATCAACAGACTACTTAACATAATTTATCAGATGAACCACAGGTGATTGGCCTGACACTACAGGTTACATCACTGATCATGGTTTAAGGAAAAATATCCAGGAACACACAACACATTTTGGCTAAGCAGAGACAGAAATTCCTGGACTGTCTTCTGAATCTGTTTATATGAAATTAAAGTATGGAATGGGGAAAGATGCCTCCCCTTTCTAGTTACACTCAGGTGATTCAATTTCTCTGTACCTGCGTCCAAGCAGACAAGTGTTACATAGAAACCAAAGCCTCTCTTAAAACCACAGGGATGGTCCAGTAATATTATGAGCTGTGATCATGCAAGTGATGCCACACTGAGTTTATCATTCTGACATCATCACGGCTTCGACGAAATTCTGGGTATGGGTGGCAAGTCACCCAGAGGCCCCTCAGGCTGAATCCAGTGAGTCTCCTGAGACCTTACCTGCGTTTGTTCAGACGGGCTATGCTGCAGTCATTCTCATACCCTCCGTTGTGATTGAGCATCCCTGTATGCACAATATGCCCAACTGGCACATCCAGGTCGTTGGAGAAGAGGTACTGCAGAACTTCCAAAGCTTGTCCTCCCGTGGACTGCGGCAGGTGGGAGAAGGAACACAAAACGTCAGCACAGCTGGACAGGTGAGGCCAAGACACATCAGACGCCAGCATTTTAGTCCTCGCTGTGGCTCATCTGATGCCTATCAGCTGCAAGAAGCAACATGGTGTCCCCTGGCATGATTCTCCTGTAGAGGCATTTGGAGCCAAACTGCCTCTGACCCAGAGATAATTTGGTACCTGGATATTACCGTGTCTCCCCGAAAATACAACCTACCCGGAAAGGAAGTCCTAGCTTGATTTTTACAGGCACAACCAATATAAGCCCTATCCCCAAAATAAGCCCTAATTTAAAAAACCCCACCCACTCCAGGTGCACGGGTAAAAATTAAGCTAGGGTGGGGGCGGGGCGAACTGCCCTACTACTTCCTGAAGGCCTCTGTAGCCAATAAGAGAGCTCTGGATCGATCTGGAGCTCTCTTATTGGCTGCAGAGGCCTTCAGGAAAGCCTTGCTGGCCAAAGAAGTTCCTGAAGGCCTCTGACGGCAAAAAGGAGGCCAAGGGGTGATGCATGCAAGTGAGGTGAGTCAGTGGACGACGTTTCCCTCCCCCCACCCTGGTGCCTTGTTTGGTGGCAAATATATATATATATAACCACTAACACACCTGTCCAATGCATCTATGAACGATTTAAATAAAAATTCCACATCCAGAAGAAATTGATTTGTGAACCACTGGTTCCCAGAAACAGAAATAAAAAGAAACAAAAAAGAAGGAGCTAAAATTATGAAAAGTCCTTAGCCTTAAACCAAATTTGGCAGATCACAATGAGCTGGTATTTTGCCTTGTCTAATAATAATAATGTCTGCCTTCTTAAGGTATAGAATGGTTTCACATGTTACACAAAGTTAAGACTTGCAATTAAAAGTTTTACGCTACCTTAAATTGGTTGCATTTGCAAATGACACTAAGCAATAAAGACTTACATGCCCCGCTGTTTACTTTCACAATATGTTACTAAGCCAAAGACAAAGCCTAAAAATTTATGTCTTGGGTTTCGAAGTAAAAATGATCCTTAACTCCATTTGTTGAGAAAGTATAGTTTACTAGAAGTCAAGTGAATTACGGTAGCGTCAAACCGGAACAAAGAGTTTGCACCAGGCTTTTGCCAGTTAACTTTCCTCCCTTGGTCCCTTCCCATTTTGTGTCTCTCATGGTCCAATCAGGTTTAAGAGAGATGTTTTGGAAATGGTCACTCTACGGGTTGGCATTCTTCTCCCAGGGAACCGACCTTGGTTCTCACAGAGGAAGGTTCTCACAGTTCAGTTTCCCTTTCCCCCAGGCCCTCACCAGCCCTTCCAGCTTCCCCTCAGGTGTCATGGCCCTGGTGGAGACTGACTCTGAGGGAGAGCCGACAGGGAGTGGAGGTGTGGCTCCGGAGGTTGTGGAGGAGGCTGGGGAAGGGCAGAGGCCGGCTGAGCAGTCAGAGGAGGACCCAGGCCCATCCCCTCTCCATCCTAGGGCACGCAGGGAGGAGAGGATAAGGGAGAGACAGGTCTACGGGGGAGGAGAGGGCCTTGATCCTCTTCATGGGCTGCAGCTGTGACAACAGGATAAGAGGACGGACATGCGTATGGGCGAGTGCTGGAAACAAAGCATGGAAATATCTCTAGTTTATGGTTCCTCTCTGAGTTTGGTGTTCTTCCCAGTGTGTGTTATCTGTGGACGTCCTCCAGCCCTCATCTTGCCTGGTTTGTGTTGCGTTTTTCCTCCTCCTTGTAATTGCTTGTGTGGGAGTTTTTTTTTTTTGTCTTCTGTCAAGGATATTCGGAGCTTGGAAGCAAAGTGAAGGAATAAAAGGGGCTTCGCCGAGTTTTTGTGACTGTGTTTGTTTTGTATCCCACCCTGGGTCATCACCCCAGGCTTCATGGCAGACTGGCAGGGAAGTGGCAGTTCTGACACCCTGCAAACTAACATGGAAAGCTTGCAAATGAAAAGGAAAGCTTTGAAGGAGGACGCACTTACACTTATCTCGAACTTGGTGAACGAGGACATGTCAATGACACACACAGCCTCTTTGCAGCATTTGACCTCTGCCCCCACAATGTCAAACCAATCCGGCTTGTAAAACGTCTTGCTCTGATCCAGAGCCAGCAAATCTGAAGGAGAGGAAGCACAAGGCTCAGGACGGGCCCCCCAAACGTGGCTCCCGGGGGGTCCATCCAGGGGGAAAAACTGCTCTCACCTTTCCCTGGAGGGACAAAGAATTTTGCCCTCTCAAAGCCATGCTTCTCCATCCATCTCGCTCCTTGGGCGTCCAGCCGGTCGTAAAGGGGAGACGTGCGGAGTTGCCGGCCGGTCTGGAAATCCCAGCGGGGAACTTTTAAATCGTAGATCAGGGCTGGAGAGGGGGCCACAGAACCACAGAATCAATGTGCTGGAAGGGACACAGCGCATTATCTTCCCAGTCCAGACAGAATATCCTTTTACAATTGTCCAAATACCCAGATGAAACTTTTGACAGAAAAACAAAAGGCCTCCAGGATATCAATCTAAATTCAAGAAGCTCCTTGAACTACTTTTGGATTTGGAAAAAAAATGTTCCTTCTGCTTTCTCTAACATTGATCTAATGTGTGGAGTCCAAGGTTTTCTCTGAACTTGGTTGCTTTCCTGTAGACCAGGGGTGTCCAACCTTGGCAACTTTAAGACTTGTGGACTTCAACTCCCAGAATTCCTCAGCCAGCA